CTTATCCCGTCCCCCCCCCCCCCCATCCCCCCCTCTCTTCTCCTTCTCGCTATAATATATATATTGAATCTTGGTAATATATATTCTGGGTAGACATGATTTCTCTTTCTTACTAAAGGTTATAAATTAATTAAATCTCTCAATAATTAATACTCAAATGGAGTCGCTTCAAAATCTAAAAAAATTTAATTGATCCTAAAGTTTGATGAAGAGCTCTTTTATATTTTAGGACTCGTTTTAAAAAATGCCAAACTTGCTAGCCAATGATTTCTTGGAAGGAGGTAAATGTAAAATTTTAGTTAATCAGGCCCCATTATAATACAAGCGCTAACTGGAATTCTAGTTTCCTAAAATGCCAATTAAATGAAGAAATTATCAAATGGAAAACATTAGAACAGGAAAAAGAAAATCTGAATGTAGAGAAAGGGAAGGAAGTTACCCATCAAACTACCAAGGAAAGCCACCTAGAGCACACTATTCTTCAGAAGGTCATTGCCTTTGAATGCATCAACTTAACACCTCTAAACCAATGCAACTTCACCACTCTTAGCACTTGGGAAAAGGTCATTCTAGATGGATCCCTGCTCATAAAGAAAAGCACATAAAAAATCTTAATTGATCTTGGTAATGGGGTCAGCTAGCAGTTCATCTTTTTAGGGTATTTTAATGTGTACAATCATTACAAATTTATACCTGTTGATCACTCCCAATGAATTTATGGATGGCAAGATAGAAGTTGGGTAAGAGTTATTTGATGCGATGAATAAGAATAGTGGAGTGAGAATATGGAAAATATACAAAATCAATTGCAAGGATTCAGGAACTTGAATCCACTTGGATCACATCAAAACAAATAGAAGTGCGGAGATGGTCAACAACACAATGTGCACATCATCACAAAAGAATATGCCGACACATGTTACCCTATATACCCATTAAAGTAAGACGGGTATGGGGTTGCAAAGGATATGATTTCCTAAATATCAGGTTCCTTTTTAATTAAACGGGTCAACACTTCATGAAATGGGGATGTCAGTTGTTAGCCAGAATAGCCATCTATAGTCATCTGCGTAATGCCTATTTGCACTTAAATTGATGTTTTTAAGTCGTTCATATTGATGCATAACCTAAAAGATCATTTTGATGGAAAACAAGAATCACTGGACTATTTTTTTCTGGAGATAAAGAACTACATTGAGAATTGCTGGATTGGAAAAGGAAGTTCCATATTTACGGCACTGGCTAGATAAGTGGGACAATACTGGGACAAACATCTAGAAAACAAGATCTTGTGATCCACATGTTAGGTCATCCCATATACAGATATGCAGTCATTTTGAGGAAACAAAATGATCTATCATCTACCCATTCTCTTAAAAACATGTTCTTTGGTTTTCTTGTACCTCAGTGCAATAGGATAGAGCTCCAATGTCAAGATCTATCATCTACTTTCCATACAATTTTGCTGGTAGTACTAACCACTATTGTTAGTTTAACTATTGAGTCTACTTTCACTTTTTGAAAGGAAGCAAATCAGTTCGAACCTTTAGCTAAGTGACAAGCTACAAGGCTCCCTTTTGCCTGAAAAAAAAATCTCTATAAAAAGTAGAGAAAGAAAAATATTTGCATTTTTTTTGTCAAAAAGGCTAAGAAGGTTGAAGAAGCATTCCGCTAACACGGACCAAAAAAAAATAAAAATAAAGATTAAATTTGATTAATCTTAGCTGCATTTTGGTGAAGAGCCCAAAGTTGAAGAATATGGTAGCACTGTCGTACTATGGACTCAAGAAATTTGACGTTTTTTTCCTTGATTTGCAAGTGCACTGAGTTTCATAATCTTGTGAAAGAATCTAGAAAGATTCTTCCGGGTTTGGTCAATAGTCTACTCTCCTGAAACTATAAAGGAACTAGTTACCTAATTTTAAAATAATCTAGAGGATAATGAATTTTTAGGAAATAAGGATAGTTTGAGTCCCAAAGCCAAGTCAAATAAGGAGAGATTCAATCCTCTTTAAATAGACACAAAAGCCTATAACTAAATCAAATGAACTTGAGTAATTAAATTTGGGTTTTGAATAAGGTGAGAGGCCATATTTAGTGGAAAGATTGTGCAACACATTCTCCAAATAGTATGAATCCTACCTAGGATGGGGAGTCTCCCTAAAGGTTAGGGCCCCTCTTTTCCTTTTAGTGGAGACGTTCCTTAGAACCCTATCTTGTGACTAAAGTGGCCCCCCTGCAAGCCTGCCCCCCTGCAAGCCTGTCCCTTCATTTTCCCATTTGTGAGGCATCTCCCCATCTAAGATTCCACAAAACCAAATTCATCATCAATTCAAGTTCTAAAATCTTTAACCGCACCTCTCCATATAATAGATAAACTAGCTCAATAGTCACCCATGCCATATACCTACCCTCATAACCATCAAATTTAAGTTAAACAAATGCTATTGGGACCAAACGATACACCCCAGTGGGGCACACTAGTTTGACCAGATGAATGGGGCAGGTTTGTGGTTGGACCGATCAAAAAGATTAAAGAAAATTCATAAAAATACAAATGAACTGAGAAAAAGAAAACAAGGAAACAAATATAGAAAAAACATAAAATTCTTCAAAATTATCATTTGGAACTAATATTACTAGACCGGTCAAATAATATAGTAAAAATACAAAAAAAATGTAGTAAAGACCGAGGTAAATTTGCTAGTTCGCACAGTTTAACTGATGTCAACCACTGACCTTTGACAATTTTTACACCCTTGAAATGCCGGTATAGGGTAATAGTTCACCAATTCTCAATCCAAACAGGCCAATCTGGCTTGGTCTCAAGAACATTTGTCTAAAACCTAGACGCTAATTCAACCTTAGAATCCATCTCATAATCATCATATCTTGGTGTTCTACTAAATTCCAGCAGCTAGACCTAGATAATGACCAAAATATCCCTAAAAAAATGCGAAACTGATTATACTACCCTTTTGCCTTATTCCCCATATATTAAAATCAGAATGCGTGCAACCTCCATGCACCTAAGTTCCTATGTCGCAAGTCCCCACTCGTACAACCGAATTCCTATGCATAGGAACTCTACATCATTGACTATTTGACTCATGGGAACTCAAAATAACAATACTCTTCTTTGACTCGTTCACAACATGGGGACTCCAACACTTTATTCTACCCTTGACTTTAGAATTCAAACCAAAAAATCCATGAATGAAAAATTACAAAAGGATAATAGATCCTATAATAAAGACTTGTTCCAACTAATGGCTTGCTCCTATTTGCATCACACTCCCTGGGTTGGAAAAGAACTCGGCTGCAAGTTTTGGCAATTTTGTTAGAAGGCTTTTCCTCTAATTGATGGAGAAGTCCTATCACTCCACGAAATTTAGCACTTCGAGGCATGAGGTTAAACACCTCGTATATGTTTTTTGTGGTCTTAAATTCAACACTCATGTCAATCAACATGGTACTGAGTGAGAGATCATAGTTGAATTACCACACCGTAGATGGACTGCCAATTCCCATCACAGAGGCTTTACCATCCATCAAAGAGTTGAACCAAAACACCTTCTTGAGGCAACTCTTGTGGCGAATAATTCTAAAATTCACAAGAGTGTCATCTCTTTTCAAATGAAAAGAATAATCAGCTGAGTTGTAATTTAGCCCTGAAGAGGCATCAACTACTTTTCCAAACTCACTATGAGATGCAGTATTCATAGCTTCCCAATGGGCTCCTAAGAAGTGAGGGTCAAGGGACGTGACGTGGCACTTAGTCGATGGCATAACTTCTACCGTCTCGCCACAGGCATTGATTAACATTACAAATGCTTCATCCGCATCCACAACTCTGATTTTGGGTCTCATTAGCTTTCAACTTGGTATTCATTTCAACTACAGTCATAACACCTAGCTGATTTCTCTCATTGAATGCAAAGAAGAAAGGTATGGCCTCACCACTGAAAGTTGGATGAAAAATGACAGGAATGCAGTGGCTTACCTGGTTGCAAGCAGTTTGCTCCCCTCTTATACAGTGGATATTCTGGGGCCACTCAACCCACGCTCTTCACCCAAGCTGTTTATCACCATCACTCAAACCAAGGGAAATTCTTTGCTGTAAATTTCGGCAATGGTGTTAAGTTCATTGAAAACATCATCAATAAAAGTAATAGAATAAACACTAACATCCTTGGCTCTCACATAGCCATCAACCGCATCGCTAGCAATAGGCTCATTACAATATCTAATAAAGTTAAAGCATGGCTCAGGAAAGATCTTGAATGCCGCTCCAAAAAACAAATTATCTCATAACAGTCCAATACCTAAATCAAAACCCACTAGAGGTGTCAAAATTAATGAGAGCATGGGCTTGAGCATGGGCTTGCTTTGCATGCTTGAGATTTTGGAGAATGGCTAACTTATCCATTTTCTGGGCTAAAGCGCTGAGTTCGAGAATATAACTCAAAGCAATAACTCCATGGAATGGACAACACAAGTTCTTATCAGAGAGCTCCAATTGATAATGCCTCGGTCTTGCCAATTCTCAAGAGAACACATGCACCCTCCAATGAATCAAACCAAGCATACAACGGAATAAAAGAATCCCAAATAGGAATTTGTGAATCTAGGCCCAACTTAAGTTTCAACCCATGAACTTGAGCACCTAAGACTCTATTCCTTGAGTTCAAACATAAGTATGCACTATGTTCTGGCAACAGCAAGAAGATCAAAACAACTTGGTCTAGAACCATGAAAAAACATAGGAGAGAAGATTCTTGGATCATTTCTAACCATAACTCCATGGATATTTCCATTGGAAGTAATTTTCTAGGAAATATCACCTCTATGACATATAAGATTGAGCATTGACTACATCGAGAGGAGATTGCCACCCATGTGATGTACTGCAAGTGCAACGCCAACAACTGAACTCATGTTTCAGAGCTTTTAGCATGGGCCTGCATATTGCTTAAATGTTTCCAAGCCCATTGATCGTCCATTACACCACTTTGATGTAACAATACCAGAAAAGGTATATTGAGAAGACCAAAACCCAGAGTTCGTCACTTCAAAACATTGTAACTCAATCCTAAAGATATATAATTCTTGTCAATGTTTTCTGGGTCATGATGCCTCTTGTAGACATCTCATTGATCACGTTTTGTTTTGTGCACATTGAAAAATACCATCGCTGTGACGCAAGTGTGCAACACTATCGATCATAAACACAACTAAGGAAAACTCCTCTCTTAGGATGCAAGAAAAACTCTTAAATTTGAGGCTCAGTCTTGAATTTTGTGGTGTCGAAATGCAAATAATAAGTTCCTTAGGCTTAGGGTTTTGAGGGGTAGGTGAAAAGGGACAGATTTGGTTCCTCTATCAAGGTCATCAACTCAGCTTCAATTCTCTCATTGAGAATGATTTCATTAACCCTTGATGAGCATATCCTATGGAGAACTCACTGGCTAAGAGTTCAAAGGTAATTACCACAATTATTTTAGTGTGAACCTCACATGGCACCCTAGATTTAGGTAAAACTCTAAGAGGAAAATCATCACCATCACCAACCTCCTCACTA